GGGCAGCCCGGGGCGGGGCGGAGCGGCCGCGGCCACGTCCCGCCCTGCTCTGCTCTGCTCTGCTCTGCTCTGCTCTGCCCGCTTTCCTGCCGCGCAGGGAGGACATCCCAGCAGCTCCTCCTCACCGCCTGCGCTCTGCCGCGCGTGAGGCCGGAGAGCCCCCGAAGCGAGATCTGAGCGGAGCCCACAGCTCAGGCTGGGGTTTTCGAGCTTTGTTAACCCCGTATTGAGTGCACGCAGYAATAAAGGAGGCTCCAAGTCGCATCGCCTCGGACCTCCTCGGCGCTGAGGGCGGCGGGGCTTTCCGACCGGTACAACCAGCCGCGCTGTGGGTCTGATCGCAGCGTGAGGGACTTCAGTGTAGCAAACGGGACTCTTGCTCAACTGCAGAGCTCAGTGGACCATGCTCCGGACTAGAAATCTCCTTAACCAACTAAGCCCCTTTCTGGGATATTCCAAAGAGTTCAAGAACAAAGCCAAGAAAGTCAAGAATCGTCCAAATCACACCTTTGGTGGCCACATGATTTGTGAACGAACAGAAAGGCAGTAAGGGAGGTTGTGATTGCAAGGTGAACATAGTCCGTGTGAAGACCCTTTCTCCTTTGACAGTCATGCAGTTTATTCTTCTTTTACATTGGCTGAGATCAGATAAAGTGACAGAAACTAAAAAAAAAAAAAAAGAATAAATAAAACTAGTATCTAGTATCGCATCAGAGAAGCGACTAGAGAAGCAACTAGCAAGAGAAGCAACTCAAGAGAAGCAACTAGCACCTTGACTTGCAGAGATTGCCATCACCGTGTGGGTAATGCTCTGCAGATATCTGCCGCTTGGGATGAGAGTCACCATCCCGCCACTGCTGCAAGGTCTTTTCCGAAAGAAATCACCTTCAAGTAGTTGCCTGGAAGTCACAGAACTGGCCTCTGGCCTGTGAAAAGAAAGATTTTTATCTAACTGTTGCAGAGGAGTATTCAAATGATGAAACTCGAGTGCAAGCKTATATGAAAGCGCTTGCTGCTTCTTAGCTATCCTTTCCCTGCCCACAAATGTACGGAATCAGGATAAGAAGAAGAAACACGGGTCAGATCAGGTTTGTGTCCATTTCCTTGACGTTTGGCAGAAACCAGACCAGTGATACATTAGACATCTATACAGACATTGCTGCCTGGCTTAAGGATTTGTTTTTCCAGTACAAGTGGGAGAAAACTTCATAACAAATTAAAACACTCAAAATATCTAGCAATKATGTTAAAAAAGATTAAATATGAATGTAGATATATGTAGCTGAAGAAACATATATGTAGCTGTAGCTGTAGAAAGATATATGTAGCTGAAGAAACAAAACTGAGGAACATATTCTTATTTTTCTTATTTTAGTTAAAGAAGGTAACCGGAGCTAATTTCCTTTCCTTTCTATAAAGCCATTGAGAATATTATGACATCAGGAAACTAGTGAAATACATTGATTTAGTAGAAATTTGGGGTTTAAAAGCTTTGCAGTTCATAAACATCTGTAAATTTTCTAGAGCGTGTTAAACTTTTGATTTCAGAACCAATCTGAATAAGATCACAAAAAGAAAACAAGAGTTTCACGCAGTTCTGAGAAATAATGAACTCATTAAAAGAGGAGGTTATTTGAAATACAGTCATTGCAAACATAGCAAAAGTGAAACTAAAAGCAGAGACACCAGAGTCTGATTTATTGCTAATGAATGTGGAGTCTGTTAATATTTTTGAAAATTCAAGTCAGGCAGCATAACATCCAAGTGACTCATTCAGCAACAGACACCTGCATATGTAGCTGCAGTTTAGATTTTTCACAACTTTTTTTTTTTTTAAATGAATCGCCTTGTATATAATTTTCTTGCACTATTAAAAGAGGAGAAATTGCAGATTTATAGCTCCAATTCCATCCAAAGGCAAGACTATYTGAAAACTTACCTGTCTTTAATATCATGTAAATGGTTTATGGCTTGTACAGCTTGACGTTATTACGCAGTATAAAAAGACCTAAAATATACCTACAGGTCAGAGAAGAGAAATTCTAAGGAAAAACATGGACAATTTTGTTTTTAGAATAGAGAATTGCTTTAAGCTTAAAGGTTTTTAAGCTTTTAGCATTCATTACAGGAACAGGAAAACTTAACAGTGGATACACAGCTGTAATAAAAGMTAACAAATATTACTTACAAAGAGCAACTTACTGAGAATAGGAGGCTACCCCTGAAGAATCAGTGTGTTGTTTAAACCTGAGTACTTATTGACCAGCAACAATAACCAGTGGGCCTCGAACTAGCATATGCTGGTGCTGCAGGTGAAGAGTGGAAGATTGTTCATCCAATTCTGTTTTAGTCAAGGCAGACAAGAGGAAAGAGCAGTAAAACATCTTAAAATAGACCTTATTTTAAAATATTCTTTTAAAAATGAATTGTATTCATCTGTTTTGCTTGGTATGGGTATGTCCAGATGTGATGCATGGGCAAATCTGAGTGTCTCCACAGAGTCGATGCAGATGCGGTTGCTGCCATCACGCCAGGAAAGAGAACAGGGCTGCTGTGGGGTCCAGGACACTGAGCAACCACTCTCAGTTGTGCTGTTAAATACCAGGCCTTTCAGGCCGGTAAGTGCCTAAGAGGCACTTGGAAAATTGGYAGTACACCCGTAAGGCACAAACTTGGGAAGTTTTGTCCTTCTCCGCAACTTGTAGGCAGCAGCCTATTCCTAATCTCTCTCCAAAGTCCTGGAGTGTGACAAATAGCCATGTATGSTGCATGTCTCAGAGAATGAGTATTTTCTTTAAGTATTTTAATAACCATTTTTAAAGTGTTATTTAAGCATTCGACATATAGCAAACTATTATTAGCTCTATCCTAAGGCTGCATGACAACACGTCTTTGTTTTAAAGCCCTGTACRTGAAAACTTAGATCCATTTTCCCTTTATTTCTTTTCTTCAACCCTAAGCTTGAGTATAAAAGATTTCAGTCAGTTATATGAAATTTTGCAGACCTCACACACACACACAGACACAAAAAGCCCTTTAAATCTGCTACAGTAGGTGAACAACTTGCAACTTCTCGCCCTGTTGCATTGTGGCACTTCTGTGGTATTTAACACTGACATTTTAGCACGTCTACTTTTAATCCCCCCTTACACCCCATTCCTCTTTGTTGCTGAAAATATCATGGCTAAATTTGCACTAGAGAGGTAACATCTCTGTATTAAGACCATTAACAGCGAAGTTTTCAGCTTCTGCTGGGAAATGTGCCCGTGTTTGAGCACCGGAGCAGAGTCCCGAGCACTTGCGGTGCCGATGCCGTCATCGCTGGCAGCATCTCACGACTTCTGAAGTAATTACTTCTCGTGGTATCAAGGGATCGCCAACATCCAGGGGCATGTTGCTCATCTCAGTCATTGTCTGGGTGCATTGACACCCATTTTCGAGACTCTGGCACTATTTTGTGTGGCTGGCCCCGTGATTGAGATCACGTAATTACAATAATTAGGAAGTCTCACCTCAGGATATTATCCGAGCGACCCACCCAAACCTAGGTCCATATGGTTTGAAATAGCTAATGAGTCAGTTAATGTGCTATGTCCAGGAGTAATGGACACTCAATATGGATGGCATGAAGATATAATTTACCAACTTCCTGACTGATTAAGGTTTTTCAAGTAGACAGTTCTTGCATTTTGCATCTTGCAATAGGTTCAAAGTATTAACTGCTTTTATGTGTTAAACAGAGMAGAAGAAAACAGCCGAGATTCCTGAAAGACAGGCAAAATATTGGCCTTTCTTTAAAGACAATTCAAAAATCGGGTATCTCAGAACTTTCATCTTATAATAATGCAAATTATTTGAAAAGCTCTATTAAAATACAGGAGATAATGAGAGCAATATGTATCATTTGCTTGTCATTGAAGCCAAGTTGCCTCAGTGAATAAATAATTCCCCTACTGCCCTTTCTAGGCCGGGAAAGAAATTCTTTCATGAGGGGAATATAGCTAACTAGCTATATATCAGCTATATATCATATATATATATCTATATAGGTTATATATATGTATTTGGTTTTGTGGGGTTTTTTTTTTGACTGAGCTGAACTGCAGAGTCTGTGTGTTCAGTCAGGGTCAAGATTCTTCTTCCCACCTCTGTTCCCACCTTCCATATAATTTTAGTGGCTGCTGGGATGAGATGTTGCTTCCGCTTCCATTACTGCAACTGAAAAGACCACCTGGGCCTGGGGTTTGTTCCCTATTTCTTCTCATATGCGAGAAGCTTTATTGCTCATGCCTTTCAAAAATATTTTTTTTTTTGGCCACATTCATTTATTTTCAAAAATGTTCAAGTACATGATGTAAGTCCATTGTGGGAATAGATTTCTTTTATTTACAGAGAGGAGAGAAAGTCTAATGTTTAAAGTAGAGAAGAAGATTAGCAATGATTTTCCTTATGGGAGTAATTTCAAGAATCCTAATCCTTGCTCTGCTGTTGAATGACCTCGTACAAGTAATTTCGTATTTCTCTGTCTCATTTTATCCATCTGAAGAGGTCTGGGGTGGCTTGTTTGAAAATTCTGAGATTCGCAGCTGCTGTGTGAGGATCATTGTGGCTGCTGTTACCCGATGGTGGCCGTTAGCACTAGCTTCTCATGGAGCTCATGATGAATTAGAACTGGTTTCCCATACAGAAACTTCAAATGTTCTCTCTCCTTTCTCCCGTTGTTTCAATTCCTTTTTATTTATTTATTTTTTTTCCAATCAGAAATGGATGAACTCCTTCTTTCGTCCAAAAATGAACACACATG